CAGAATATTCAGATAATTCAGAAAATAGTGAAACTTTAAAGAACTAATTATCTTTATTAGTTTCTATCAAAAACAAATTACAATTAAAGGAAATAAATAATTTCAAGTAAAAAAGAGATCAAAATGTCACATAATTTAATAATTTCTTATTTTCCAATTTCAATCAGTACAGCAGGTAATATTTTGGAGTATTTATAATTAGATTCAAATATATTTCTCGTAATAGGAATCATCGATAGTACTTGTTAAAGTATCTATAAATATCATATAAAATAATCAACAAAGATTCGATTACTTTTGAATACTTATAAAAGATTGAAAAAATGTTTTTCAATATTATACAATTTTCTTTTTGCTATTAAAATTCTCCCAAAAGGAGTAAAAGGAGTCGAACTTACAAATTATAAGAAATGGACAAAATGTTTCGGGACTTCTTTCAATGAAGATTAGAATTATTTCTATACAATTAGAAAAAAATTAATGAATAAATGATAAATATTTTACCATGTGATAGTCCTGATTATAAAAAAAACAATTAATTTTCTTCCATCATTTACAGTTTGCGTAAAATGGGAGAACATTTAGAGTGCATAAGTTTAGGTGTTGAAGTTTCACGATTTTCTGAATTACCGAGTTGAAAGTCTTTCCTTGTAAATTAAACAATATTTCAAAAGAAAAAAATATACACCTACTTTCAGGTAGCAAAATTCAATTGTCACGTGTCTGTAGGTCGTTCTCGTTAGATCCCACACGCCTAACCGTCAGATCCGAAGAAACCTTTCAACTCTTGTCTGCAGTTAACAGGGGGGATGAGGCACTGTACAAAGAAAACCGCAGCGTCGAACAGTTAATTACACACTCGTTTTCTCTCGTTAGAGAGAGGATGGTATTAATGGCCAACTAACGGCAAACTGCTCGACAAGGGGAGCAAGGAGGCGGCGTAGGCGGTGGACAGGGCATACAGGGGACCATTTTCTTGGTACAGACGAACGTCACAGTTGGACAAGGTGGTGGACAGGGTGGCGGCGGTGGTGTACAAGCGACGATAACCTTTGGTGGACAAGGAATGGCGCAACAAGGTGGACAAGCCGTGCAAGGCCGTAGGTAAACCTAATTTCGAGGTGAGTTATTAAATTAGCTTTGCGATAACAAGTCATATAAAGGGCTTGGCTGTATTGCGTTACGCGTTGCTTTTCATGACGAAATTAGAAATGGCAAAGGAGGAAGGATAAAAATTAAATTTGTCTGGTATTTACCGTGTTTGCTTTCTGATTGTATTATTCTGTTGGAACTCACTGTCGTTTTGGTTGGTTGAGGGGGGCAACGGGGTGGACAAGGCGGTCTGCATATGATAGGGGATGGAGGACAAGGTGGAGGAGGAGGAGAAGGAGGAGGAGAAAGAGGAGGAGGAGGATTACAGCATGGATTACAGCAAGATCGGTTGGAACACATATTTTTGGAACACCCTATGAGAAAAACGGTATTATTGGTATTTCAATATACGGATTGTAATTAAAGAAGTAACTTTAATCTCTTTTTTTATTTAAAATTACTTAGTCTCTTCAGTTTAATTCAATATATTTATATTTATATAAATTTAACATATATTATTATAATATTATATGTATACAAATACAACAATGTTCTATAATTTTTGAATATTCTCGAATACTTGCATTTTGATCAAAAACTTTTTACTAGAGACGTAATTAAATATACATAATATTAGTAGTATAGTATCAAGTAATTTATGTATATTGATGAAAAAAATAGTTCTCTCCGATCTCGACGATTTTTGAATATGTTGTAGAAATCAACATTTCGAACTTTATCCTATAATCGGCGGTCAGGCCTGAGTTAGGCTTAGTTTTCGAAATATTTCTATTGCGAAATGTGAAATATTCTAACCATTTGTGACACATTCATCGCCTCGTCGCACGACACACACATTATAAACAAAAAATAAAAGATAGTAGATTTGGATTTGATACGCACAATTATAAGCGTAATAATTCATTAAGTATAATACAACATCTTACGAATGTCTCAGAAATTAAATAACACCTCACATGTGTAGAAAAAAAAAATTGTTCGAAATGTTGATTTCTGCAACATATTTAAAAATCATCGAGAGGAAACAGCTTGTTTGCAATTTTACTTATATTGTATTGAATAGTTTAGTTTAACTCATTATACTAGAGATAAAACTACAAGAATAATAATCAGTAAATTAATATTCTATGTACAATATAAATTAATATCCTATTAAACTTCGGTATCTAAATCGAATTATCTGCATTTTTTTTTTCTTTGCAAAATTATCTAAATCATACTTTTTGCACCACATATCGCAAAGTCGATTAACTATTAATAAGGGAGATTTCACTTGATCATGTTACGGTACTAACGAGTTGCGAGCTGACTATGGAAAGTTAAGCTGATATTTCCATCCGATGTCCTTGAGTCTGTACATTGTCGATCCTCTGAAAATGGACCAAGCCCGATCTAACGAGAAACGACAGCATTAGTGTGCTTCCGTTTCGGATT